TATAAAATAAATAATACTTCTTAATCATACTAAGTCTCCATATCATTTGATAAAGTGCCACAACGTATCTTGTATCTTTGAGTTTTTAATGAACAAATAGTTATTGGATATCCACAGGGATAGAATTTACGCATGCGGGTCTGAATTGATAGGAGGGGTGTGGGGGGGATTCTGTGAAGTTTGTAGGAACGCCCAAAAGATTTGATTCATATGTACTATATTATATTTAAAAATGAAATAATTTTGCTCTGGCACGTGAAATTTGACCTGTGTGAATGCCCAAAGCAATGAATAAAATTAAGAACATGACATTTGTACATTTCTTAACGTACCAGATATATATGTATCAGTGCTGTGGTTTTCCCGAAGGAATTCCTGTTGCTCATTGTAGAACTTCACAGCCAATTTCTGAGCGTCATTGTCATACATATAGAATCTTTTATTTTTATGTGTTTGATCTACCACATAGAAAACTCTGAAAGGAGATAAGAGAATTGTTAAATGAACACTACATTATTTGTGTCCAGTTTGATTAACTGTTAGACATCCTGCAGATTAATTCCAGAGTGTTAAACTTCCGTTGTTAATTCTACATAGAAGAAAATTACTATAATTTTATATTAGCAAATTAAATGCATAACAGGTATTTACCAACAAGGGGGGGGGAGGGGCAAAGGGAACATGCCTTCCCCCCACTTTTTTCCCAATATTACTTTTACTATTGGAAATGTTCATGGAAAGTCTGCTCCCCCCTCCCCCACTATATAATACAAGTAATTGATATCAGGATAATATAGAATGAATGCAAAAATTTGGTACTGAACGAAATTGGCCTACAGAAGAATTGGCCTATCTTGGGCATTTTTTTTACTTGTCAACTTTTCAATTAAGCCAATTTTTTTTTTTTTTTGGTTGAATTTTTTCTGTCCCTTCCATTACATGGCTGTATCATATTTTCAAAACGTTTATACATTTTAAAATGTTTATGAAGACAGAAATAAATGATAATGTACGTTCTTATTACCTGGCCAGACTAGGGGTATTAGGTAAGATTTCTTCATTTAAATCCGCATCTCTGAATTCCGGTTTTGGCATGCAAAGGAGGAATCGGCTGTATAAACCATCGTTAGAGTTGGCATTTTTTCTTTCCTCGTCAAGGCACCTGCAAATTTCCCCAGGATGCGCCATTCCACAGATATTTACCACAGGCTTTTGAATGGAGATGTTACCTGAAAAAAATTGTCTCGATATTAATATTTATTTTTTTAACAATTATGAATATGCGCAATTGAACCGAATGAAACAAAATCAATTATAATAGAAGACTCACTGCTACAAGTTTGTCTCTTTAAAGTTCCGCCATTGTACGTTGTCAGATATATAGTTGTATCGTAGTCGGATGCGGAACCAGTCTTGTACAGCCCGAGACTGCTCTGCCAAGTTTTGAGCTCATCCCACAGCTGAATTTGCCGGCTGTCGTTATTCAGCTGTTTTAATAGTGATTCAACTGTAGCAGCTGTATTAAAAGAAAAAGAAATAAATAAATACACACCTGAATTTGTTTCTAAATTTAAATAATCTTTTTTTTTGTTCATCGGATCAGTGAAATAATGAAATACTTAAAAATGAATTTGTAACGAAAATTTAAACTAATTCATTTTTTAATTATATATCTATCTAATAGATTTATTATGGTTTTTATTTGTCATGATAGGGGTCTAAAAAATTTTATCTCATTTTACTCATTTGACAAAAATTGCATAATGATCAATAAAAAAAATTTGCAATTGGAATGATATTTGCATATATATAGTACAACAGGGGGGTAGCCTTACTAACTTTCTTAAACATTACCTTCAAATCACAACAAATATAGAAAATGGAAAAGGTGGCTTGGCCTGACCACGTGTTGTTACCACAGGGCAAGGAATTATCAGGCTATTGTTGTATTGAGTTTCATATGCAAATAAGTATTGATTTCATTGATCCAATCGATGAGCAAAAGATAACCCCACACACACACACACACACACACACTTACACGTAAAAATAATATTTGATAGTAATTGTAAGGAAAATTTTAAAAAAAAAAACAAAAGTAAAAAATGAAGTTGCTACAAAAAATTGAATGATCAATAAATAATGATTTGCAATTGGAATGTTTATTTGTTAAATGCACTGCTTGACCAGAAAAAGTCTCAAGCAGACAATTTTTAAAATGTCATTGTATAAAGGGAGAGACCTCTCATGTGCGTGAGCATACGTATCCGATATCTGAGCAGATGATATGTATTTTACCCCTTATTTACATGTGTAACAAAAACGGGATTTTTCTAAGACCTTCAACTGATTGCTTGAACATAATCAAAGTACTCAGAAGTACAGAGAGCCGGGCTAATTTACAGAGTAGAATGAATTTATTACATGAATCACGTTTATATTCTGATAAAAAAATTATTTTAAAACTATCAATGTAAATGTTAAGACACTGGCAGTGAGTTTTAAATATTCGTATTTTCACAGTGACGTCACAATTGGTAGACATTATCAACCATCTATACCGTTAAGGTTTTTTATGAGTTTCTGGCTTCATGGGATGTGTAAAAATAATAAAAACGAAACTTATATTATTGATTAAAAAAAGATTTTATATAGATATTTAATCTCTTTGTAAATGTCTATATATGATTAATTGTGATAAGACTCTAATCAAATCATTTAATACATTTGTAATAAATGTAAAAATATTGAGCTCATGTTTTTTTGTTTTTTTTTTTGTTTTTTTTTTTTTTTGGGGGGGGGGGAGGGGAGGGGGGATGGAGGTATTGAAGCAACAGTGTACGAATCATGGAAATCAATCAATATAAATATTTATGTGTAAGTTTTTCAATAAATAATCAATATTAAAAATTAATCAATATATGATAAATATTTTATATACTTACATTGATTCATTCTAGACCTCATGTCGCAAATTTCAGTAGCACTCTCAACTTCGGCAATGGCATTTCGGACAGCATCCATAGCTGCTGTTTTGTTTGTTCCAGTGAATCCGACCGTCGCAGAATAAATGATTGAAGGTTGGGTCCAGCTTCCCCAGGGTCGAATTTCCGATTTGTTCAGGAAATGCGCGATGCCAGTTAGAAAAGGAGGAATTAAAAATTCCATCGGTACGCTATTCGACACTGCAGTATTATGCAACATTTCATTTGTTAATTCATCGAATGGATCATTGATGGTTTCCTTGTAGCAATTTTGAATTCTGTCTCGATGCACAAATGCAGACATCCTTCCACTTCCTAAATTTGTTTTCATGCGATGACGTTAAAGTGAGTAGTTTTTAACGTCGTTGCTATTGTGACGGCGTTAACGTGACGTCAGAGATAAACTTACTATAGCGACGACAAAATGCACGGGAAAATTTTTTAATTTGTTTTGGATCAGTTAAGTGATTTTTTTATTTAGGGAATATACATGTAGACTTTTATTAGGATTTGAATGACTTATTGAAACCAGTTAGAAAAATCGAAGATATACTGAAGATTTTGGAATACATCAAAATTCTGCCACCGGGAATACCTCAAAGATATGAACATATTCGAAATGTTTTTAATTTAAATAACCGGGGATCAGATGCTGTGATTTTGACTCTATCAGACGTGGCGGATTTGGTACAGACCTTAGAAGTTATACTGCCGCGATTTCAAGATAATCCTTTAAATGTGAGTCCTGAATTGGTACAGAAGGATTTTGAATATTATATTTTCAAGGGAATATCAGAAGTTGGAACGGTGAATATTATTCCGCCTGTGACCACATGCTGCGGTCAATTAAAGAAGGTTGGACAAAAAGTTTGCAATGTATTTCGATCCAGATTTAAACCAGCGGTTGCAGTTATGTACGAATTGAAATGCAGCAAATGCAACACTGTGTATAAATGCAGTACCTACAAGAAGAAAAGTATTGAGCTTTACTACTCTGATGTTTTAGAGCAAGAATATTTTGCGTCCACATGCGACTCGGTATTTTCCATGGAATTACTAAGGAAGGTTGATATTGACTTGTAAGTATGAGAATTTAAATAATTTTGGAAAAATGTGTGTAATGTATAGGTTACATGCATTTTCGATCCCCTATAAATATGAATACAAATTACTGTAGATTGAAACATATTTAGGCAATTAAAAAAAAAACAGTATTAATAATTTTCCATACTCAAATTAAAATACGGCTTTTTTAACATTTATAATTCATAAAATGCCTTCGAATAAATAAAATTTAACTGATTCTGAATAGTGATTTTAGATACAGGAAATCAGCTTCATTTGAAGGAATTGCCTATGCCTATAACGACGAACACTTGGGGTCAGAATGGATGAATTTAGATAAAAATACTGAGGTAATGGATAGAAGACGCCTGAGCGAGGCATGGTACAAGAAAACCTTTCTAGAGATAAAAGGAAATTATGGGATGCAACAAAATATCGAATATATTTCATCTGAAAAACTGGAAGACGTGCTTGAAACTGAAATGAATGGCCAATGGAGGACATTTTCAGTCAAATGGTCCTCATCCTTCCATACCGACAATTGCAAACACGAAGGTAAGTGCACTATTTTTTAATCAAATAAAACTAGTCTCAAAAAACTTAATTTAACTAATTTAACTACTCCCAAGGATGCAGATAAAAATTAAACATTACCATTACGTTTTCACTGCTACATGTTTGTCTATAAATATGCATTAATAGATATTATTTGTGGATTCACACATGTGGAAGATATTAATTGATATGAAACGAGAAAAAATTATTCGTAAATAAATCAAATTGGAACACGGTATGTGCGAGACTAACACTAATTAGTATAGTGTGATTTGCGAGAGTAACACTAATTAGTATAGAGTGGTGTGCGAGACTCACCCCAGCTATTTAGTATAGAGTGATCTTATACGTATAAAGTGGTGTGTGAGGCTAACCCTAATTAGTAAACAGTAACCCTAATTAGTATCGAGTGGTGTGCGAGACTAACCCTAATTAGTATCGAGTGGTGTGCGAGACTAACCCTAATTAGTATCGATGGTGTGCGAGACTAACCCTAATTAGTATCGATGGTGTGCGAGTGGTGTGCGAGACTAACCCTAATTAGTAGAGTAGTGTTTTAGACTACCCAGAAACCCTAATTAGTAAAGAGTGTGTGCGAGACTAACCCTAATTAGTATCGAATGGTGTGCGAGACTAACCCTAATTAGTATCGTGTGGTGTGCGAGACTAACCCTAATTAGTAATCGAGTGGTGTGCGAGACTAACCCTAAATTGTAATGGTGTACGACCTAATTAGTATCGAATGCGAGACTAATCCTAAAAAGTGGTGTGCGAGACTAATCCTAATTAGTATCGATGGTGTGCGAGACTAACCCTAATTAGTAAAGAGTGGTGTGCGAGATTCACCCTAATTAGTATCGAGTGGTGTGCGAGACTAATCCTAATTAGTATCGACTGGTGTGCGAGACTAATCCTAATTAGTATCGATGGTGTGCGAGACTAACCCTAATTAATAAAGAGTGGTGTGCGAGACTAACCCTAATTAGTAAAGAGTAGTGTGCGAGACTAACCCTAATTAGTAAAGAGTTGTGTGCGAGACTAACCCTAATTAGTAAAGAATGGTGTGCGAGACTAACCTTAATTAGTAGCGTGTGGTGTGCGAGACTAACCCTAATATGTAAACAGTGGTGGACCTTTGAGACTAACCGTAATTGTTATAAGTATAAATTCATTAAATTTAGTAAAAAGTGGGGTGCAAAAAAACTTCGCTGTAACCGTAAATTCGCTATATCCGTGTTCGCACTAAACGAGTTTTGCTGTATGTAAACAGTGGTGTGCGAGACTAACCCTAATTAGTAAAGAGTGGTTTGCGAGACTAACCCTAATTAGTAAAGAGTAGTGTGCGAGACTAACCCTTATATGTAGACAGTGGTGTTCGAGACCAACCCTAATTAGTAAACAGTGATGTGAAAGACCAATATTTATTCGTATCGAGTGGTATGCGAGACTAACACTAATTAGTAGCAAGTGGTGTGCGAGGCTTACACCACTAATAAGTATAGAGTTGTGTGAGAAACTAAACCTAGTTAGTAGAGAGAGTTGTGTGCAAGTCTAGAGTGGTGAACAAGACTAACCGAATTAGTAGAGTGGTGTGCGAAACTTAGAATCCAATTTAATAGAATGATGTGCAAGATATACTTTATATAGTGTAATGGTGTACAAGACTAACCCATTTTGATAGAATGATGTGAGACCAACCCAACTTACAGCAGTGATGTGCGATACTAACCCGAATCTAATACAAATAAGATGATTAGTGTGTGGACTCCGTTTATTACAACACTGCGAGCTTACCTTACAAATAGAGATGATTAGTGTGTGAGTGCATGGTAATATCTTGACACATATTTGCAACCATAGTGTTGTTAGTAAGAGGGAAGTTTGATTACATTAAATGTATACGTTATATTATTTTTTGTAGAATGCTGCAAAGCAATTGTTATAGACGGGCATATGAAAGGAACACGTTCAGTGTGCGCGGCTACGGATGTAAGAACGACAGAATCCGAAGAGCTTGGTAGCATTTCCATGGGTTGCTGGAAAATGCCAGTGAAAGGATCACTATTTTGTGCTGCTCATAAGAATGCCAAGAAACCGGAAAAGGTAATCAAAAAAAAAAAAAATACATATTTTGGAGAAAGTAAATAACGAACATATTATCACATTGAAATAAGCTTGCATGCAGTAGTGGGTAATTTAAATGAAAAAGTGACATTTTCCTTTTCATTATTAATTACAAATCATATGGAATTTAAAAATCAAAAATGAAAAAAAAGAATGGAAATCTGTTTATACATTGGTTTTTCAATTTCTGGGGAAAATATAATTCATATACATGTACATGTACACTGTTACTGTTACAATTGTACATGTAAAGTAGTTCAAAGTAAGGATATTATACTTTTAATAAATACAAAATTTTTTTGTTTGGAATATTTTTCATGTCAATTTTTGCAAGTTTAGCAAATTGTAAATGTATAATTTTAAGTATTGTGAATAAAATTAATTTACGACACTTATGTAACATGGTAATAAATACATATTAAAACTTAACAGAATGAGGCAACGGCTCGAGGTCAGACTGAAGATTATTCGGAATGTAAAACCCTTAAAGAGAAAGGCCATCTTCAAAAGTATAAAAGTGCAGGAGTGTGTGCGTCAGTCTATAACTGCGGCATTATAAATGGTATAAGAGAGTTGTACGGTTGTGAATCTCTTACTCAGGTGTACATTTTTTTGATATGGTTGGTAAAGGTGTTAGAATGTTTCCCAAATCTTCTTGCATACGACGATGCCTGTCACTTAAAAAAATTCATTATGAATCCCATCAGAGCAGAAAAAACCGAATATTCAATATTTTTGAAGAACTTGAGAATTGTAGTGGATAAAATGCATTTTGTAAATCATGTTGATAAATGGTGCAGGAGAAATGTTAATCCATACACAGATGATTTATTTAAAAACATTAATACTGAAGCATGTGAACAAACATTTCAATTTATTGCGAAATTCAAGTTCGCAACCAAACATATGTCCTATGGTAAGTACAATTTATTCATGCTTAAAATATCAGAAATGTACAATATGGATAGACTTGTTAGAAACAGGAAAAAAAGTAAAATTTCCAGTACATGTGTGAATTGAATGAGGAGATGGAGTTATTAAACATCATGAAATTTACCTAGCTATAAATGTTTTATATGACTTTGAAGCTTATTAGGTAAACTAATTTATGCGCTGCTATCACTTATTTACATGTATGTACATGTAGTACTTATGACAATATGTTTATAATTATGTATGTGAGATAATGTATTAGTCATATTATAAGCAAATGACAAGTAGGACAAATATATCTGTGTATGAAAGCATGAGTAGGTCTTTATGATAAGTTAATGTTACCAATAAATATACATTGTATTTTTGGAATATATAAGAAAATAAAATGTTCATGTATTCTCAATATCATATAAACTTTTATTACAATGCTAAGTTGACTTTGTAAAAATAATAATTTAAACGATGTGAACGCAATATCATAAACATATTGTTTACATTACGATGTTGACGATGTAGACATACAATATTATAGAAATAATAATGATGTAGAAGATATTGCACTTAAACACTGTCTGCAATGCATTGTGAACAATGTTTACATCAATGCAGAAACAATAATGTCGACAATGTAAACGCGAAATACTTACAACATTAATTGCGGTATTGATATACAATATAGAACTAATAACAATGTAGACGATGTAAACGCGATATCGCATCAACATTGTTTACATTGCGATGTCGACGATGTCGTCATGTAGAAATAATAACAATGTAGACGATGTAGACGTGATATCGTATCAACATTGTCAACATTGCGATGTCGACGTTGATGATGTCGTCATGTAGAAACAATAACAATGTAGACGATGTAAACACGATATCGTATCAACATTGTTTACTTTGCGATGTCGTCATGTAGAAATAATAACAATGTAGACGATGTAAACGCGATATCGTATCAACATTGTCAACATTGCGATGTCGACGTTGACGATGTCGTCATGTAGAAACAATAACAATGTAGACGATGTAAACATGACATCGTGTCAACATTGCGATGTCGACGTTGACGATGTCGTCATGTAGAAACAATAACAATGTAGACGATGTAAACACGATATCGTATCATTGTTTACATTGCGAACATTGATTAAGTTACATTGCGATGTCGACAATATCGAATTGATTAAGTGAACTGGACATGGCCCAAACTGTTGCAGATCTGCGGCGTGAAATGTTTGGAGAGGATGTACAGATCATCTCCGACGACATGTCAGACTCCGGATCAGATGAGGAGTACTGAGCAGTTTCTACAGAAATGAAGTATACTGCAAAGGCTCTTTTTAGAGCCATCAAAATGTTTCGAAAAGATACCTTTATACAGCGTTAAATTGAAACGTTCACAAAAAATTCACAATTATAGAATTACACCCCCCCCCCCCCCCCCCAATACACATGCAAACATATAAACATACATGCAATTGTACATAAAACAAAACAAAAAAAAAACACACACACACACAAAAACATACAATTTTCCATTATCAAATAAATGAATTACAAAATCACATAATTATACATACACGCCCCTTACATTCCGCCCCTTCTTATTCTATGCATGAACAGGTGCCCCCCGCTCCCGACAATTACAGTAACAGAAAACTACTTTAAACAATTGACATCACCT